AAAAGAGTTCTATTCTAGTTAGATGATGATGTCAGCAAATAAACTTAGCCCTAAAAGCCCCTCACTCCTCTTTTTTTGGGGGGGTTCCATTTTTGTAGGGCTAAGCCACAGGAAAAATAACCTCTCAAAAAATTGTTAAATCCTAGTGTCCTGGGCTCTGGCTCGGATAGAAACTATGGTGTGATATACCCTCATTTTGTGGCTAGGTCTCCCACGGTAAATGTCGATTCACAGCATCATATTCCTCATCAAAATCATTAAGAAAATGTGATAGCAGTTCAGACAAGACAAGCTGACTGGCTCATTTGGACACCTGAGGGATGTAGGATCATATTTCCAGAAGTAGCTCAAGCTCACAGCAAAAAACAAAACCACACCAACACCAACCACGGGAGCTGCTATGCACAGGGAGCAGGGCGGCGGAGGCCGGGAGGGGCCGGTGTCGGGTGGACGGCGGTCAGTGGAGAAAAATGGGGCATCTGGAATACTTTCAACAATAAAGAGAAATTTAGAAAAAAGGATCCATTTCGGATTTGATAACTGAACTATTGATCAAAGCAGGAGACAGAGTCCTCTTTTAATACTTTCTAATTTAAGTTAAAAAAACAAATCTTACCGTCTGATGCTTGAGCAGGCGTGTCTGGGGCACAGTCCTTGGTCTCACTGAAAGGAAAGGAAAAGCGTTTCATGGTCTGCGTACCGACCGGGGGAGGGATTACTTAGCGAAAGGACAGCTGTCAGCCGTTCTTCCCGTGAAGAGAACGCGACATACCAGATCCCTGCGCTTCCGAACGGGTAGCTGTGATTTCTCAGAGGACTCCCCCCACTTTACAAATGGTGGTGACGTCCACCCCACACACCGTGAGGGACGGTTCGTGCCTGAGCCCGTCCACATTGCCGGGCAGACGTCACCACCATCCTCTCCAGGACGTCTTCATCTTCCCCAACTGCTACCCCGCACCCTTCAGCTACTAACACCCACCTTCTTCTCGCCTCACCCCCTGGAGCTGCCCTTCTACTTCCAGTTTGACCATGAAGTGCCTCATGGACGTGGAATCATGTGGTGTCTGTCCTCTCGTGACGGACTTAGCAGTGTCTTCAGGTCACACGTGTTGTAGCGTGCCCCGACCTCCTCCCTGTTACAGGCTGAGTCCGAGCCTCGTGCCTGTGTGCACCACGTTTTCTCTCTCCACCGGCCCCCAGTGGGGTGGCTCCTAGATCTGGATTGTGCACAACGCTGCTGGGCACGAACCTCTGGGCGCCCCTGTTTTCAGTCCTGTGGGGTGCACACCCATACGTGGGCTCTCTGGGTCGTACGGTAGCTCCACATTTAGTTTTTTTGAGAAACTGTCATACTGTTTTTCACAGCGACTGTACCATTTTAAATTCCCAACAGCAACGTGCAAGGGCCTATTTTTGTGCTCCCTCCCCCCGCCTTGCTGATCGACTTTTAAATGTTTTCTTTCCCAAGAGTTGTTCCCTGTCTCTTCGCAGGACCTTAGGAGTGCTAGTGTGTCCCTCGGCCGATGGCCCGCCCCTTGCTCTCAGGTGGGCAGGCACCGGCTGCCCCCAGGATGTTGGGGTGTTCCTGCCGGGGCCCCCATCCACTGACTTGGGGCGTCCAGGCCTAGACCATCCAGCCACCACCCCAGCTGCGCTTCTGTTCAGGGGAGACGGGAGCATCTCCTGTCCCTCAGAACGTCTACAATAGGCTGGGATATTGCTGACAAGTGGAAACCTACCCTTCCCACCCCCAGGGAGGAACTGGGATTTGGGCTCTTTCTACCCAACTGGGCCACAGGCCACGGGCCACGCCTGGTGCAGAGCGCGCTGGGGAAGGGCGAGTGCGCCCTGTGGGACTTCCCTCCAGGGTGAATGTGGCTCTCGCTCCCTCGCTCACTGGGCCTTCACTTGGTCACTGCTGGCCCTGGGCGGGCCTCCGGACTCCTGTGACGTTGCTGGGTTGGCAGCTGTTTGCCTGGCAAATAAAGGCCCGCAGTTTCCCGCTCCCATCCTGCCCTAACTTGGCTTTGATTTGGTTTGCTCCGTGCCCGGTCCTCATCTTTGCTATCAGCAGGAGAGAGGTGCTTGCGTGACTAAGTATGTGTGTTTAAGGAACCATCGTGCGGGAATAAAAGGCAAGCGTGGTCCAGGAGCAAACACCCCCAGTGGCGTGAGTGTCAGCGTCAGGAAGAAACGTCCCCTTGTGCTGGGGGGGTGGGGGTGGGTGGGAAATGCAACAGGAATCTCTTTCTCCTTCTACCCACTGCGCTCCACACAACGCGGGACGCTGCCTCTTGCAGTGCACGCCTGTGTGTGCACCTAGAGCCGTTTTAGATAAACTTGAACCGCTTTAGGCCTGGTGACCGGTTAGATGGCAGGTCTAAGCAATGTGCTGTGCTCTGTCCTCTGTAGTCAGCCTGATGTGGGTGTCTCCTCCTCACGCAGTTGCTGCCCATCCTTCCCCTCGCTCAGCAAACTCCCGTGCTCCCTAGCCGTTACCTCAGAGCCTCCAGCCCGCACGGCCCTTCTCTCCCTGGGTGGTTCTTACAGGCGGTCGCAGGGGCGTGCGGTCACTCGGGGACTGAGCGGGGAGCGGGCGCCTATCTCCCCGGTGAGAACAAGTAACGAAGGGAAACCAGACACTCGGACATCGTGATCCCAGACACGTAGAGGCCCCGGAATCAACATGGGGGTCACGTGGGAAGGGGAGGCCTTTGGGAGCAGCCACCGTGGGGGGCTCCGGGAGGGAAGGAGGCCGAGGGAAGGCCTGGGACTGAGCCATGGCGCCATCGTGGCTCTACCAGGGCCCGTTCTCCCGACCCAGCCCTTCCCCTCCGATGGCTCCTCCGTGCTGCTTTGCGGCCACGTACCTGGCAGGTGAGCCCAGGTCCTCCTGGTTGTAGGACGACGTGCTCATAATCCTGTGTATGAGGTGATGGATCGGCTCCGTGGACTCCCTGTCTCCTTTCTGCAAAGAGGAGCCCAGGCGTCAGGCGCGCACATGCACAGCGTGAGGGCGCGCCTGAGGGTTATTGGAAGGTGGACGGACCCATCGTTCTGATTAAAATGTCTCTTTCCAATGGAATCCGTGGGCGTGGCTCAGTGAAGACGGTATTTTAATGCAGGAGTTTGAATGGGTTTTAAAGGTAAACCTTGCACGATGTTTGAAGAATATTAGCTTTCCACTTCTGCACTTCGCTAGTATTTTAATCAGGTTTTACTGGCTTCAAAAATAAAGGGAATAGATATAATCCCGGTCAGCTCAGAAGCTACCAGGTCAGTCACTGTGAGTGGCACTCTCATCTGCTTGCTGGGAAGTCATATGTGAGTTTCATGGCCATCCCTTTTATGAGAATACCTTTATTCTGAATCTCCAAAAAGGCTATTATGACTGGGAACGTTACTCACAATATATTTTGACTTTTGCTAATGTTATACAACAACATTTATTTAAAAATATTATTATGCAAGTTTCACGTATGCAACACTGTAAGTCAACATGTGTATACCCTAAAAAGTGATCACCCCCAAAAGTCTAGTTACTCTCCGTTACCATCCAATTGACCCCTGTGGCCCCTGTCACCAGTCCTACCCTCTTACCTTCTGGTTACCACCTACCTGTTCTCTGCATCTATTAGGTTTCTTTATGTTTTTTCTTTTGCTTTTAATTTTTTAAAAATTTTCACATGTGTGAAATCACATGTTATTTATCTTTCTCTTTTTGACTTATTTCATTTCACATTACACCTTTAAGGTCCATCCATTTTGTCAAAATGGCAAGATTTCATTATTTTTTATTATTGAGTAGTATTCCATATATATGTAGCCACAACTTATCTCTCCATTCATTGTTGGACACTTGGGTTGCTTCTATATCTTGGCTACTGTAAACAGTGCTGCATGAATATAGGGGGTGCATATGTCTTTTCAAATTAGTGTTTTCATATTCTTCAGATAAACATCCAGAAGTGGAACAACAGCTGGATTATGTGGTTCTATTCTTAATATTTTGAGGAACCTCCATACTGTTTTCCATGTGGCTGCATCAACTTACAGTCCTACCGACAGTATACAAGGGTTATAGTTTCTCCACGTTCTCCCCAACATTTATTATTTCTTATCCTTTTTATAATAGCCATTCTACAGATGTGTGGTTTAGATTTGCAGTTCCCTAATAAATAGTGATATTGAACATCTTTTCATGTACCTATTGCCCATTTGTATATCTTCTTTTGAAAAATGTCTATTCTGATCCTCTGTCCATTTTCAGTTGGGTTATTTCTTTTATTGTTGCATGAGTTCTTTATATATTTTTGAATATTAACCCCTTGTTGGATGTATGATTTACAAGTATCTTTTCCCATTCAGTGGGTTGTCTTCTTTTTTATTGATTTCAGAGAGGCAGGGAGAAGGAGAAGGAGAGATAGAAACATTAATGATGAGAGAGAATCATTGATCAGCTGCCTTCTGCACACCTCCTACTGGGGATTGAGCCCACAACCTGGGCATGTGCCCTGACTGAGAATTGAACTATGACCTCCTAGTTCATAGGTCGATGCTCAACCACTGAGCCATGCTGGCTGGGCTGTCTTTTTGTTTTAACAATGGTTTCCTTCACTGTACAGAAGTCTTTTATTTTGTTGTAGTCCCTTTTTTTTTCTCCTTTTTTTACTTTGTTTTCCTTGCATTTGTAGTCAGATCCACAATAACATCTAGGCTGATGTCAAGGAGGTGGCAAGGAATTTTATCATTTCAGGTCTTCCATTCAGCTCTCTGGGCTTCCTGGACCTGCATGTCTATTTCATTTCCCAAATTAGGGATGTTTTGAGCCATTATTTCCTCAAATAATTTTCAATTCAAACCTAGATCATCTGAATTTGTGTGGATCTTTTATTTTCTTCCTACCTTGGCCCTTCCTCTGGTTATATCCTACCTGCATAAGGCTTTTCTACATAGAATCTTCAATGGGTGTTAATTAGCTAAAATACAATAAAGGCTGGAGTCTATTAAGTAATAGATATAAATAATTAGCTTTCATTTCTCCCACATGGTTTCCATTTTATGTCCCCCCGGGGCCTCTCACTAACCCAGGTCTCCTTCTGTGACCTGCGTTCCCTCGGTTGAGTTTTATGGCTTCGCTAGTTTTATGTTCATCATTTCTCTTATCCTATGAACATCACCAGGCTCCCGAGTGACAGGAACCACTTTAGTGTTCTCCTCTGCCTAATGAAGGAGTATTCTGGACAGAATCTCTGAAGATCTCTCCCTTTTCCATACATGTCGGGTCACCGGCAGCCCTGGCCCTCACTCACCTCACACTGCGGCTCATTTCCCCAGGAGGAGTTGGTGACAGCCAGGACGGAGGAGCGGGTGGGCTGGTCCAGCTCGGCGGCGGGCCACTTCATTTCCTTCCCCGTCGGTCCTCCTGGAGGCTTCCCGGTGGCCTCCGGGCTTTCCATATCTGCCTCCGTAGCTTCGTCCTCAAGTCGTTCACAGCTTGCTTCTCTTATGTCCTCTCTCAGCACAAATTCATAGTCATCAGTGGTTGGCTCCTCTCCCCTGTGACTTTCTGACTCACCTTCAATATCATGAACTACTAATCGGATGAGAAGATCTTGTTTGTTCTGAACGTCTTTTAAAAGCTCCACCTTGGTGATGTCAGGCTTCCTTATGTTCTGAAAGGAATTTCGGCCAACAGCCTGCAATTGAAGTGACAAAGAATATTAAAAACAAGTGCCTCCATCCCTTTTTCTATGGTTCTGTGGTCTTAGAGCCATGTTAATAGGATTTAAATACTGTTTCCTTCCCTATCACTCACTTGTATGTTAGCAGCATTTTAAGGATCAAATGGAAATTATGAGAAACACTTGGTGTCTATCATATCTTCTTTTGCACTCGGAGATCATATTAATCTACCATAACTTACTTCAAAGTGTAGAAGGTCTATAACAGGTCCTTTTTTCTTAAACTTGGTATTTTACTTTTTATCCACCTACTTCTAAAGTTTTGTAACAGAAGTAGCCGTGATCATCTATTTTTCAAAAATTCCCGATAAGGAACCATAGAGTAACCTTTTCTTTCCCCAATAAAAACCTGTTATTATCTAATTTTGATTTTTAAAAGACTAATACAAAATTGTGAACGTTTTGATTTTGACCCTTATCCTTCTGCTCCTGGTTCTTTGGACACATGTTTTTCAAAAGAATGTTTAGAACATACATCTCCACTCTTCTCTCATCTCCCTCATCGAACCTCACTTTCCATTCTCCATGTCTAAAGACAGTTCAAAGACATTGATGATTAAATAAGAGTTTCCCCACTTTTGTAGCCCTCAATGATGCCACAGAGCCTCTAAACTGACAAGTTAATAATCATTGACCTCAACATGCCTTTGCAACATGGTAAGTCCGTTTTCAGAAAATAGTGCCCTAAAGGAATATGTAACAATATATGGAAACTGCCTTCTTAGGAAATTAAAACAGTCCATTTTGATTTTCTGTGTTAGTGGAGGGAACTGGTGGTAGAGAAAATCCAAAGTCATTCTATGTGGCTGTGAGATTTGTTACTGTGTGTGGCCTCGAGTGCTGGGAATTTGTCACCTCAGAGAAGAAAGTAAAGCCCGGAGTGTGGCCAACAGCCGCCTGGCTCTCTGATCTAATTCAGTCTTCTGTCTCTCCTTCCTCTGTGCGGAGAGAGACTGTATTGCTACCCAGATTGGTGCAGGTCACATGTCTTAGCAGAGCTCGCTATGTCTGCTTCTTTATTTGTAAGTTTTATGTTTAGGATGGCTTTTCTCCCCCTTAGAGGATAGAGGACGGGGTAATTGTTTGGTTGACATAGCCTTTACCTGCTTTCTTTGGTCTGTAAATGACTTCAGCAAAGAGAGCTGGCAACTAAGGGTAATATTTGTGACAGAAAATTCTACTGATAATTAAGAACTGACTTTGAGCAGTGTCACACCACAGCCCGCTCACACTCTGTTACTCCCGAGAGAGTCCTTGTACGTAAATGAAGGCTACCAAGTCGCATGCTAGCGCCATGATGAGAACCCTCATGGAACAGGAACGTTTTGAGCCAGAAAGGATTGGTCCAAAAAGTTTAGGACAAAGGAGATGAAATTAGTGTCCCAGCCCACAAGAAACTCAGTTATTTGGGTATGAAAACAGAGCCCTCAGTAACATATTTCCCAACCCGGAGACTGAGTTCTGTGGGCGGCAGGGCAGGGAGCACGGTCCTATACATTTTTTTTCTCATTTTCCAGGCCACAGACTATATACCTGGACACACCTAGTCATCCTCTGAACGAGCACCATGAGACCAGGGGCTTTGATAACGAAGAAAAATGTGCAGCGGATCAGGGTCACCCCACTGTCCAGACCCCCCCCTGTCCTCAGGGGCAAAGTTGCCTTGTAACAAGGGCATCAGATTGGCATTTTAAAGTCCCAGGCAGTTTAGTGTATGTGGGGCTTGAATGTGAGCGGCAGGGCAGGGTTAGGTCTACAGAAAGAGGACACAGGGTCATCAATGTGGTAGCATCAGGGCTGCTGGGTCCAGGAAAAGCGGGGGAGAGGGAAGAACTGTGTACTTCTTTGCAGGATAGAAGAAACTGGAAAAGGCTAATGAAAGTCGTATAGTAAGAAACAAGTGTAATCTAAGCGTTTGTCGCCTAATGTTGGTGGACATGTTGCTAAAAGCCAGCAGGTTGCTGCTGCGGGAGAGCTTCAAGTCTGAGCCATTAAAGCTACTTTAGGTAGTTTTTGAACCTTCCTATGTCCTGATAGCCTAGCGGTCCCCTCGAGGCGTCTTTCGACATCCACGGTAAGAACTGCAGGAACCGCACGAGGTTGTTTCTTCTGAATCTTCACATGACGATGACAGCGTGGTCACCCTGCTTTTATGTGAAGGGTATGCCCTGTGTTCCCGTTCTGTTTACAAACAAAGCAACACCGTTTAAACGGATTGTCTTAGGAACACTGGCCTGAGACCCTTAGAGGGAGCCACCCATGTGCCAAGTCCCAGGAAGTCAGATGACTGCGGGGCTGAACCAGCACAGCCGGTGCCCCTGTTGGGCTGGGCCGCAGCAGCGCCACCAGAAAGCACCCCAAATACCCATTTGAGGAGGAGAGTCACACGGCCACCTCGTCTCACTTCACCTGTTTGCCTGCGGCTGCGTTCACACTTACCTCTAAGGGCTTCATGTCCAGACGTCCCGTCCTGTTCAAGGAGGTGCGTCTCTCTTTCTTCAGCTTTTCCTCACTAGATGCGTCTGCGGCGGAGTAACTTCTCCCCTGCATCGAGGCTCGTCTCACTTCGGCTATGCTGTGCCCGGTGTTTCTCAGACACTCCATCTGCAGCTTCTCCAGAGGCTCAGTTTTCACCGAGATGACCGCCAAGTGTTGGGAAAGAATGCCGGGGTCTATTTTGATGGGCTTGTTCCCAATGTGGGGGACGATTTTAATTTGCGTTTCCTCTCCCGATGTGTTTGGATCGGGCGCTCCATTCTTCGTGTCAGGGTTCGTTTTGAAAGCATGTTCTTGCGCCTTCTGGACGATCCTGTTCACGTCTAGATCTCCAAAGTGCTCCGCAGGGGAATCCTTGGAGCAGTCGGTGTCTGTATCTAAGGAAACGCTGGAAACGCCATCGATGATTAAATTGGCCACCTTTTGGGGGAAGACTCTGTTGGTGCCTTTGATGTCGTAGTAAAGGTCCTGGTAGGTCCCGGATTGTATCAGCACATTGCTGTAAATAGAGTCGATAATCTGAGAGATCATTTCGACACTTTCCGGGTTTAAAAGCTGCCCCTCAGGGTCAGCAGCAACGAGACTAATGTCACTTTTGGAAATCTCCGCCGACACAGATTTGGTCAGCTGAGATGCAATTCTATTTAACTCGGGCTTTGATAAGTTCTTGGCATCTTTGCTGGAGGCACTGGGCAACTTCACCAGTTTGGCTAAGAACAAGGCCAGTGCTTCCTCTAAACACGTGACATCCAACATGGAACCTTTTTTGGAGGAAGACCTGTCCTGGGACTTAAATTCAACAATTTTGACCACCTTTTCCATAATTTTGACAGCTTCCAGCACCAGTTCTGAGCTCGATACTTCTTCCTCTCCTTGCGGTTGAAATTTAGAATTGGAAATTTCCTTCACCATCAAGAAGCCTATTATGTCGGAGAGGACATTGCTCTTCCCCATTAAGTCCTTGAAGATGGACATATGGGAGCCGGAGTGTTTTAACACCCGGGTGTAGACAGAATTGACGACCTTTTTGATGGTTTCATTGTCAGATACCGGTACAGTCGCCAAGGCCTTGGCTGGGGGTATGAGTTTGATCTTACTTTTTGAGATAAATTCTTGCAGGGAAGTTAATATTTTGGACATGATGTTTTGCATTTCAGTTTCTAGGGATTTGTTTCTCTTCTTGTCCACCTTGGGAAACACAGATAAAAGCTTGGACAGAAACTGGACGGCGATTTCCTCTATGACGTTGTAAGGCAGCCTGTGGGCGGGCGCAGGCTGGGGCCGGGGCGTGTCCGTGTTGCGGAGGACGTCCTTGAGGATGTTCTCAATGATGCTGTCCACTTCTGCGCACTGACACGGGGTCAGCTCTCCCGAGAAGTAGCTCTGCAGCTGGTTCCCGGACACCTCTCGCAGCACCAGCTCCACGATGGTCTCGGAGAGGATTCTGCAGCTGCTGGCTACACAGTTTTGTATAATCTCCTGCGAGCCGAACCGGGACAAGAGGTTCTCATAAATAGAAAGGGCCACCAGCTGGATGACCTCGTCGTCGTTGGGGTGTAAGGACTCCACATACTGAATGGTCACGTCTTTGTCCTTGACGATCTCGGTCATGATGGTGCCCAGTAACTTCATTTTCAGGAAATCCAGTTCTGGGAGCCACCTGCCCTCCGAGGGGACTGCGTTGGTTTTGGGTGTGACTGAGAAAACCTTCTGTAAAAGAGCAGAAATCACGTCCTGTAAGAACTCGCGAGGCAGCAAGATGGCGTATGGCGAGAATGTCTGACACTCTTTACTGGCTGTCTGCACCGCCTTCTGGACCTTCTTGACAATATCCTTACATTCCAGAGGCAGACATGCCCAAGATGGGACCTCATCGCTGGGCTCCAAGTTCAGCTGCTGCTGAAAAATTTCATTGATCACTTTGCTGGTCAGTTTTCTCGCTAAATTTCCCCCGTTGCTCTTTATATTCTGACAAAGGGAGTCTTGAGACCTATATTCCTTCAAAATATTGCACACAGAAGAGTGAACCACTTTGCTAACCAGTGTCTCATCGATGGCCGGGATTCTGTCCAGGAACGACACCGTGTGTAGAGGGATTTCCTTCGTCACTTTCTGCGTTTGGGACATTGCCGCCCCCGTTGCTTTCTTAGTGGGAGGTGAGGCTCCCTCTGCCCTTGGCTCTCTCTGCTCAGGAGGCCCTTTAGGAACGGTTGACCCTTTACCTCCGGGAGGGACTGGCAGGCCTTCCTTTTCTGGCCTAAATACCTTAATCTGAGCCTTGGACAGCTCCTTCAGCAGCAAATCAATGAGCTTCGTGGCTGTGTCATAGAGGTCGGCTTGATGTTGGCCGTCACTGACATTTTGGCCTCTATCAGATGTTTGTGCTTCTAGTGAGGCACAGAAGATCAACTTGTTAACCATTTCGATGATAACATCCTCTAAAAGTTTAGCAGGGAAAATCCCAGGCTTACTTTTCGGTGGGTACTGAGCACTGTCCGGTTTCCTGGGTTCATTTTTGATTTCCTTCGCTTCCACTTTCTCTTTTCCTCCCATTTGTTGTTTCTCTTTTCCTCCCTCTTGCTGCTTCTCTTTCTCTCTCACTTTCTCGTTATCCTTTTCTTCTTCCTTCTCCGGGGCAGGGAGATCTTTGTCAACCGAGAGGGGTAAGTCCTTCATTGAAACAGACGGGGCAGAATCCTCGCGGACCTCTTGGGTGACATGAACTGTATCACTTGGGATTGTTTGGAAACTTGAATAATCTGATTCTGGGGCAAAACATGTCTCAAAGATATTGTCATAAATATTTTCAGTGATATTTTGAACACGTTCATAGCCTGCATATTGTTTATTTATATCGACTAGAGGGAGAGTGCCTTTTCTACACTCAGTGTTCGGCTTTGGAGTTAATGTGTCTTCTGTGTTGGTCGCTGCATTTGTCACTTTGGGTGTCAAAGGTAATGGACAGGGCTCGTCTTCTTTTCTCAATGCATTTCCTCTTGTTTTGTCAATCTTCTGTTTGTTTGTGTCCAGATCTGGTCCAACCATTTCCTCCTTCCACTCTGTCTCACCGGGAGCTCCTGGAGTCTGTGTGTATGCCTCATTACGTTGCTTCTCTCCGTCTGTTGACACTGATTTGCTTTTCTTCTCAGTTTCATCATTTTTACGTGCTCCCTTCAAATCTGACTTCTGACTATCTTTACTTTTCACACTAGTAGTTGGAGATGTAACTGTTGATACATTCTCAGTATAATTTTTAATTGAAATTGTCATTTTATTTTCATTCTCTTTCTTTTTAGTTGCCACCCCTGCAGCTGCCCCTGGCAGCAGGTTAAGCAGGTTGCATCTCATGGTTCTGGTTAGAGAGGTGACTCTCCGCTCTTGGGTCTCGCCTTTTTTCACAGGCGCCTCCTCACTCTGGACACTTTTCTTTCTACTTGCTGTTCCTTGGTCTAGTTCCAAAGTTCCCAACACGTGTTTCCGGACTGAGGTTGGAGAAGTGTATTTATATGATTGCTCTGAAAACGTAAGTTGGTTTCCTCGGAGGCGCGTGCTACTCGGTGCCGTGGTTTTCTGTGGCAGGTGTTGAACCCTTTGGGTGATGTGATCTGGATTTAGAAATGAAAAGAAGGTGGAAGACCAGTCTCCTGAAAACAGGGGTTGAATTTTGAAGGCAGAGATTGCCTTTTGGGCTAAGGCAGCAATCGTTTCTATTAGCACGTGACCTTTATCATCCTTCTGCATGTCACCGGAGTCATACTTCCCTATGAACTGATCGTATACAAAGTTGGATATCTTATCCACTGTCTCTTTATCAATTGGTGGGAAAGCAAAGACTTCTTCAGCATTCGGTACAACTTTAATTTCACTTTTCCTGAATTCTCTTATCAGAGAATTTGCAAATTTTATAGCCAACCCCACAAGCTCTGTCTCCGACATCCCTTTTTTCTTAGGTTCTTCGGTAATACTTAGAAGGGAAGAAAATTTGCGAACAAGGTCAACCACTACGTCTTCCAAAAATGTAGCTGAGTAGAGGGAGGTCTGAGTCTTTTCTTTCCCAGGTTTGGTGAGTGCAGAGCCCCCGTCACCCTGTAAAAATGGCTTCAGATGATGGTCCATAATTTCCTTCATAACGAAACTTGCGACTTTGCTGAGGAACGAGCCTGCTTTTTTGTCTGCATCTCTTTGCACTTCCGCTTGAAATTCAGATTTTTTCAAGATATTATTACATATCGAGTCAACCAAGTTCTCAATCATGTCTAGTTGGGTGCTGTCGGCGTTCTCCTCCGCCCTGGCAAGACGGATTTCATGTTCCGTGATTTCTTTGATAATTTCATCCGTCAGTTTTGAAGCTGCAGCCACAAACTCGTCATCGGGTGAAGCGCCTCCCTCCCCGAGCTCGCCCTCCGTGCGGGTGGGAGGGAAGATGTTCGCTATGAGCTTGGAAACGATGTCCTCCAGCAGCGCGCGCGGCAGCACCGTCACGCACGGGCTGGCCGGGCCGGCCTTCGCGACGACGTTCAGCACGTTTCTGATGATGTTTTCGGTTTGAAGGGAAGAACAGGAAGACGACACCAGTTCTCCTGACACTAACGACTGCATCTGATGATGATAAATTTCTTCCAATAGTAAGTGATAAATTTTCCTGCCGAAAGAAGTCGTGTCACTTTGCATAACCTTGTAGACTTGAATCAGAGATTTGTATTCACCTAATATCTTTTCATAAACCAGGTTGGCTGTGTTTTGAACCATTTCTTTGTATCTTGCCGAAGAACACATATCATTATCGAAATAATTCGAAACTACAATCTCCGACGTGGTGAACTCCAGAACGATTGATTTTACTAATGTTGTCACAATGTCAGTAATTTTCACTTTCACTATGTCTGGGTGCTCAGTACCCAAGACGTTGTGTGAGAACGCGTACAGGAGTTTACACAGCAGCTCTGCGATGACCTCCTCCAGGAAGGCAGCCGAGTTCACCACAAAAGCCAAGGTTCCTTGCTGATTGTCGGCTGCTCTCTGTTTATCGTCATGATCAACTGCAGCGGAGAGGCATGTTTTATCTCCAGGTAAAAATGACTGGAGATGATGGTTAAATATTTCTTTTATGATAAAACTTGCTATTTTCGAAACAGGCATCTTACTTATTCCTTTCTTATCCTTTGTGAGAGACTGGTAGAGCTTTGAGTGTGAAAGGTCGGCGTAGATGGAACCCACCATGGACTGGATATCTTTCTCCGAGATCATGCTCTGTTTCTCACTGCCGTGTTTGACAATGCAGATTGCATGTTTGGAAATGATGGACATAATTTCGTTGATCAGCCTTATGACGTTGTCACTTAGCTCCGACTTGGAAGTGCCCTTGCATTCTGCACCGGAGGCCAGTGGGCCCACCTGAGCGAGCAGCTGGGCGACCACCTTTTCCAAGTGGGTGTGCGATAACATGGTGGTGTAGATAGTTGAGGCCTGCCTTTGGAATCTTGATTTAGCGATGTAACCTTGGACTCTCTTTATCAAGACATCGACGTTCAGTGTGGCGTACGACTTAAAACGAAGCTTTCCTATCAGCTTTGGGTGGATTTGGAAATCAAACGTGTGGGCCAGGATGCTCTTAGTCACCCTTGCTGCCAAGGTTTTTGTGTCATGGAGGAAATCGTAATCGGGCAGGACGTCCATTTCATATTCTTGCAGCACTTTGCTGAACACCATGTCCACAACGTTGTTGAGGACATCTCTCTCCACTGTTGGCAAACGGCACTGCTCCTCGGCGTTCTCCAGGATGCGGACCGGGGCTCTTGACAACTCTTCTGCTATCAGATGTATGAGTTTCCCAGCTTTATCCAAAAGCTCATCTTCTGAGTCTCTTGCGGATTTTGTTTGCACAATGCCCAACACCCTGTGGAATATTTTCCTTAAAACTCCAAAGATCACGTCTTCCAAAAATGCTGCCGAGTAAACATGGGCAGGAGGCCATGGCCTCCACTCGCCGTCAGGGTGAGAGTCTGTGGGGGCAGGCAATGCCTTTCGGTCCACAAAGGGCTGAAGATGTTGTTGACAGATA